CTCTCCAGCAGGCAGAGGGCCTACTCAACCAGAGCTGGCATGGTGACAGACCATCTCTAGGGACAGTAAATTGCCAGTCAGTGTAGCATCCTGGGATCACTCAAGGGGAAGGAGGAACCGCAGATGCAGAACTCCTCTGTGCCTTCTGCCAGGACTCAACAATGGACGTCTCTGTGTCTCTTAATAACAAGAAGTCCCCATAGAGACATTTCTCCCAATTATGTATTCCTTGTAATGATGGGACACTCATGTTTAGAATTTTTCTTTCAAGCTAAGATGTATAAGTATGGGAGGTTGGTGTGGAATAAATAGCTTTCAATTATCTCCGTCACTTGTCAAACTTTTTAATGAGCGTACTGTGCCGGTCCATGGAAGCCATTCGATTCTTCAGCCTTGCCCTGGCCTGCGGGCTCCAGGTGGCTCCCAAGACCCGACAACGGCAAACACACACTAGGTGTTCCATAGACGCCGTGGCACAGAAGAGAGCGCCTCAGGAGAAATGCGAGGCGTGGGCTGAGAGGTCTAGCCTCTGCTGCGTGGGCTGAGAGGTCTAGCCTCTGCTGCGTGGGCTGAGAGGTCTAGCCTCTGCTGCGTGGGCTGAGAGGTCTAGCCTCTGCTGCGTGGGCTGAGAGGTCTAGCCTCTGCCGCACCACTCTGCCTCTTTTTTGTTTGTTTTGTGCTTTTCGAGACTGGGTTTCTCGGTGCAGCCCTGACTGTCTTGGAACTCACTCTGTAGACCAGGCTGGCCTTGAACCCAGAGATCCATCTGCCTCTGCTCCCTAGTGTTGGGATTAAAGGTGCGAGTCACCACTGCCCAGCCCGTTCTGCATCTCAGAAAGGACCAAAGGCAAGATGTCTCCAGGTACATGGCACAGGGCCAGGAGCTACTACCTCCACAGACTCCTTTAGAGAGGAAGTTGGTGTAGATGGTGGGAGGTGTAGGTACTAACCTAGCCAGAGTCCATCCTAATACCCTTTGAAAAGAGCACATTATATCCTGACCTTGGTTCCTGGAACATTAACAGAGACTGGCAACTATCAAGGGCAGCCCTGGATTTTTCAGAGGAACAGACTAAGTTTCTACCTCAGTTTGCTGTGTGACCTTGAGTTGTGAGGGACCCTCTCTGAGCCTCTTCCTTTCTGCATCCTACAGATAAGTAAGCTTCACTTAAGGGATGATGAGGTTGAGAGGAGAGGAGCAATTGAAGTGGCTGCCCAGTGATGGTGGATTAGTTCTTGGACGCTGGTCCGCCTGGCCTCTGGGGAACTGCTGACGTTGAGACAGCCTTATCAGGATCTTCCAGGCTTGGGGCCAAGGGGCCTATCTCTCCGGCCCTTTTCAGCTGTCCACTATTAACAGATCCAAAAGCCCTTATCTCATCCTCCTTTTCCCTCGGGGAATTCTGGTCTTCACCTCACACTCCTTTCTGCTGCTCAGCACCTGAGAGTTGGTGGGAATGAGGAACCGTCTGTCTCCTTGACAGACTTGAGATTTTTTGTTTTTTGTTTTTTTTAAAGAAAGGGTCTCACTAACTGTGACTGGCCTGGAACTCATCACATAGACCAGGCTGACCTTGACTTCACAGAAGTCCACCTACCTTTACCTCTTGCGTGTTGGGATTAAAGGCATGCAACACCTTGTCTAACATAAACTCGGCCCCTGTTTTTAATGATGGATTAAGATTTTCCCTCTGTGGCCCAGCTGTCCTTGAATCTGTATATTCAGGGGATCTTCCCGCCGCAGCCTCCTGAGTACCCAGGACTGCAGGCTTGTGCAGGATGTATAGTTGAATATTTTGGGAGGATGAGCCTTGGCCTCTACAACCCTGGGTAGTATAATCTTTTAGCCTACTAGGTAAACACAGTTTAATCATCCTAAAATGGGGCAATATTATGTTCCCCCCCAGCAACCATCTTGATCCTTGACATATAACAGATGCTCAGTCAGTGTTTGTCGAATGACTATCGAGCAGCTTTTCAAAAGCAAGTGTCATTGCTAATGGGTCCCCTGGGAAAGCCCAGAGAAAGGAAGTGCTCCATCTGGAACCAGACTGTGTCAACCTCTCTAGCCCCCGCCCCCCCGTCAGTCAGTGTCTGCCCTGGTGGTGTTGAATGAGATCTAGCCCTCAGTTTTTCTACTGTGGTGTTGGGGGTGAGCAGCACAGGCGTGGGGACAGGCAGACCCCAGGGCTAGGGATCCAGTGTGGGCCAGCTTCTGTCACTAGCTGGGCTCGTGAGCACCATTCCTGAATGAGCCTCATTTCCCCATCTGTGCAGAGGCTCGTGTGCTCTCTTGGTCCTTCCCAGTTCTGACACATCCCAGGATTGGCAATGAGTAGTTTCACAAACTGTTCTCGAGAAAGACACTCTTGGTATCTTCCAAAGCACCTCAGAGTCTATAGAAGACTGTCTAGTCCCTTATGCCTCCATCTCTGGAGAATTTGAGGAGACTGAAGCAAGGTCTAGGTGCCCGCCTTTTACAGGAAACTGAACTAAAACCCACCCTTGAGAGCTTCAGTGTGATTGTTTTCAGACAGGATCTCATGTAGCCCTGGCTGCCTATGTAGCCGAGGATGGTCTGGAACTTCTGGTCTTCCTGCATCAACCTGCTGGAGTTACAGGTGTGTGCAGCTATACCCAGCTGTGGGAACTGTAATTTTTGGCTCCCTCCACAAGTTTATTATAAAGATATATCAATTCGTTGTCAAAGATTCTCTGTCAAACACATTCTCTGGAATGGGCACAAGTGTCCCTTATGGGTTTTTTTCTTTTTTTTTTATTTAAGATTTCTGCCTCCTCCCCGCCACCGCCTCCCATTTCCCTCCCCCTCCCCCAAACAAGTCCCCCTCCCTCATCAGCCCGAAGAGCGATCAGGGTTCCCTGACCTGTGGGAAGTCCAAGGACCACCCACCTCCATCCAGGTCTAGTAAGGTGAGCATCCAAACTGCCTAGGCTCTCCCAAAGCCAGTACGTGCAGTAGGATCAACAACCCATTGCCATTGTTCTTGAGTTCTCAGTATTCCTCATTGTCCGCTATGTTCAGCAAGTCCGGTTTTATCCCATGCTTTTTCAGACCCAGGCCAGCTTGTGTAATATTTATTTTTTTTTCTGTATATAGCCCAGGCTATCCTGGGACTTAAGCTTTTCCGGTCTTGGCCCTCTAAATGCTGGAGATACAAGTGTATTTTTCGAGAAGCTGCTTGCAAAATGCACATTCCTGAGCTCTCGGAGATTCTAAATTGGATCTGGGTGTGGAGGCACAGACCTGTGCGCAAGCACTCAAGAAGCCAAGGCAGGAAGAATACCTTGATTCAGTTTGGGCAACATAGCAAGATTCTGTCTCTTCAAAAACAAAACAAAGCAAAAACAAAAGGTGAGCCAGCGTAGTGGGGCACCCCTATAATCCCAGCTTTTGGGAGACAGAAACAAATGGGTCTGAGTTCAAGGCCAGCCTGGTCTACTTAGGGAGTTCCAGCACAGTCAGAGCTACAGAGTAAGACCCTGTCTCGAAACAATAACAACCAAAATATAACGAAACAAACCCCCAAAATAAAAGACCCAAGAGGTGGTGCGGAGGGCTGGAGAAGGGTGGGAGGTAGGGGTCGATTCTAAATTGGCCAGGTTGGGGTAGCCCAAAGTTAAGAGATGCCCTATCATTTCGGAAGCCTTGGGAAATCACAGCCTGCTCGTTGCTTCCTTGCTCACCTTCGCTCCCAGCCTCCATTTCTCTCGTGAGAAATGGGTATGACAAGCAGCCCCTGCTAGGTCATCCCAAAGCAGAGTGGTCAGAGCTGGGACAGAGAAAAAGTAGCATGGAGCAAAGGAGCAAGGAACCCTGGGCTGAGAGCCCTCTGGAGGAAGCCATGCTTACAGAGGTCTTGCTGTCAGTTACTCTGCTTGTGGCCACCCTGCCCCCAGTGCAGGAAGCTAGTAGGTCTTGTTAAACCTTTCACATCTCTGTTCCCAGTGTTGGCACGATGCCTAGCAGAGAGGACAATACTGGTCAGATGGGCTGACCTGAGCAATGAGAAACGGTGGAGATAGCCCGGGGCCTCAGGATTAAATGTGTACACTCTCACCCCCTTGCGCTGCCCTGCCGCCCTAAGTGAGGTCTCATGTGGAGATAATTTAATGGCCGATTCTCTTCACGTTGCAAGCTTTCGCTGTTTCTCTTTCCGTCTTTCCTTTCCACTGAGTCAGGAGGTCTGCACTGAAGTTGGGGCACTGAGCAAGCTCTCAGACATTTCTGACTTTTTAAGACAGGGTCTCACTGTGTAGTCCTGGCTGGCCTGAAGGTCTGCTTGCCTCTGCCTAACAAGTGCGGGGATTAAAGGCAGGCGCCAGTGTGGAGTGGGCAAATGAATGAACGCAAACTGGGCGCTAGCTACTGAAGGAATTTCAACTAAAATCAGACTGAAATCAAAGCCAAACGTCCCTGCCCACTTCCTGGCACCCCTCTTGTGTTTGGCTTATAGGTGACAGGGTTAGGGAAGAGCACAGAGCTGTAAGCAAACGGTTTTTAGAAGCGGAGATGTGGCGGAAGCGAGCTTCGGAGGTGAGCCTGAGCGTGCGGAAGAGACAGTTTCTGGCATCTGAGCTGAGGGGGTGGAGGCCACAGGTTGAGAGTCTAGGGGTCATGTGTCATGGGGGGGACGATGCCTGCGGGACGTGCAGAAGCGAGTACGAAGTTTGTTCCGTTCTCCAGTCCCAGCCACCCACGAGTGGGCGGTGGAGGGGGCGGGGTCCCGGCGCCCACGCCTCCAGCAGGGCACGGCTGGAGGCAGAAGGGAGACGGCGCCCCGCACCGCCCGGACAAAGCCTGCGCGCGCCCCGCCCCGGGATTGGCCGCCCCGCCCCGGGTCCCGCCCTCCATCGCCGGCCCCGAACTCTGCACCCAATGTCCTTCACCGGCGCCACTGCCGTCACAGCCGCCCCAGCCAATGGAGATGGCGCTCGGCGGCGCGTGGCTCTTTCGCGGCAAAAAGGATTTGGCGCGTAAAAGTGGCCCGGACTTTGCAGGCAGCGGCGGCCCGGGCGGAGCGGGATCGAGCCCTCGCCGCGGCCTGCAGCCATGGGCCCGCGCCGCCGCCGCCGCCTGCCTCCCGGGCCACGCGGGCCGTGAGCGCCATGGCCGTGGCCCCCGCGGGCGGCCAGCACGCGCCGGCGCTGGAGGCCCTGCTCGGGGCGGGCGCGCTGCGGCTGCTCGACTCCTCGCAGATCGTCATCATCTCCGCCGCGCCCGATGTTGGCGCCCCGCAGGTCCCCGCCGGCCCCGCCGCGCCGCCCGCCGGCCCCCGCGACCCCGACGTGCTGCTCTTCGCCACACCGCAGACGCCCCGACCCGCGCCTAGTGCACCGCGTCCCGCTCTCGGCCGCCCGCCGGTAGGGACCCTAGGCGCGGGCGGGGGAGGGGCGGGCTGCAGCGCTGGGCGGTGCGGAGCCTGGGCTGGGCCTCTGGGCTCCGCCCCGGGGCGCGCGGTGACAGACTGCCGGTCCCTGTTTGCTGCGCCTTGCTCTGGGCCTCAGCGTCCTCACCGGAGCGTCGGCGTCGTTGATGATAATGGTTCACGTGTATGCAGCTAGTGCTTGCTTAGTGCACGCCCAGCCTTTGGCACACTTAGAATTTCGGCCACAGTTCTCAACTCTGCTGTGAGCTGGGTGTTGTCACGTGCCCATCTGCCAGAGGGAGGAACTGAGGCCCAGACAGGGAAGTGCTTCACGGAGCTGCAGGTGGTGGGACAAGGATTTTAACTAATGTCTGCTGGCTTGCAGCAGGACTTAGGGTTGGGTGGTAAGCACGGTTGTTTGTGGGAGGTGAAGGAGCGTGACTGTTGGCGACCCCTTGGGGAGACCTCTCCTTAGTGCCTCGATGTTGGATTGCCAGGTGCAGGCCTAGCCTTCCAGGCCTCTGGGGATAGGCCTCCTGACTGGGAGGCCTTCTCTGCAGGGGCGGGGCGCTGGGCCAGCTGCTGCAACCCTTCCTCTGCCTGTCCTTCCATCTGCCACCCTTCCAGCCCCTGGTTGCCATGGAACTTTATTAATCAGGCGGGCAGACCCTCGAGCCTCTGGAAGACTGGGTGGGCTGGGCCCCTGAGATCTATGGAAGGGGCCTCCAGTGCCTGGAGACGTGGGAGGGAGATCCCTGGATAAAGTCTCCACTTATCCCCGAACAGCAAGAAGCTCAAGACCAGTTTAGGCTGGGGGCCTAGAAAAGGCAGCTGAGTCAGTGGACAGTGGAAGCTTGGAACGTGGATCCAAGCAGGGGCAGGCACAGGGTGTGGGCCACCAACTTTATTGTGGGGGTGGAGCAGACAGGAGGGGGGTTCTCAGCAGGGGGCTTGGAGCAAATGGGAGGGGCAGGGCCCAGAGTAGAAGCTGTTCAACTGCTGATGGGGGTGTGGGTGGCAGCTGGTCCCTGAGGCATCTTGGGAAGGCCCATAGCCCCCTTGGCCCTGTGCCCAGTGCTGCCTTCCTTCCGGAATCACCAAGATGCTAATAATAATAACAATAGCAGCTCCGATCGTTTCGAGGATGTTTTGTGTGCCAGGCCCCGTGCTAAGCACTTCATCCACTTATCCCTGTGGGCAGCCTTGCTTTCTGATCCTTCTTAGAGATGGGGAGCCTGAGGCCCAGAAATGGTGGGACTTCCCCCAACCATTCAGCCAGGGAGTGGTATTTCCTGATTGTTACTGGCCCTTCCTCCCAGTGAGATCTGGCTTGTTACTTGGTGGGTCAGCTAGCTTGCCTTACACTCCGGGGGCCTGTGCTTGCAAATAGGAGCTTGAGGCCTGGCCAGGTAGTCTACATTGGACGAAACATTCCCTTTACTCCAGCTGACTTCCTGAGTCCCACCATTGCATGCTTGGTGCAGAGGTATTTAAGGGCCCCCTGCCCCCATGGTACTTAAGGGCCAGCCCACATTTTCTGTGGGAGAGGCTGACAACATCCTGGAGCCAAAGGCCGAGAATGCAAATCTGGATTTTGGCCTCTACTGACTTTGCTCTGGCATTTTGGGGGCAGTCCTTGAAATAAGCTACAGGCTTGGCTTCCACCCAGTAAGCACTTGCTGAATGCTTCCTGTGTACAGAACTCCATGCAATTCAGACATTCCTCTCTGCCCTGCCTACCTCTACCTGTCATAGCTCTCGTGTGTGTGTGTGTGTGTGTGTAGGTGTGTGTGTGTGTGTGTAGGTGTGTGTGTAGGTGTAGATCCTGTAGGGGGAAGCGAAGACAACAGAATTGCCTCACGTTCAAGGCCAGCCAGGGTTACATAGTGAAACATTGCCTTAAGAGTAAATTAATTTTTAAAGATAAATGTGTTCGGGGGCTGGAGAGATGGCTTAGGGCATCCAGAGGACCCAGATTCAGTTCCCAGCATCCACATGGCAGCTCACAACTGTCTGCAACTCCAAGATCTGACACCCTCACACAGACACATGCAGGCCAAACACCAATGCAAATAAATAAAAAAAAACAAACTAGCATGCTCTGCTGTGACAGCTAGAGTTTGCATCCCAGCACCTATGCATCCCAGCACCTACATTGAGGTCACAGATGCCTGTATAACTCCAGCTTCAAGGGATTTGATGGTGCTTTTTGCCCCATGCCCACATTTTCATATACACTCAAACAAACACACAAATATCTTAAAGAGTAGATTAATTAAATAAAAATATATCAAAATGCCAAGTCTATCTTGGTTTATTGGCATATTTTATAATCCAGGCAGGCAAGGGTACTGACTCCTGTCCAGTGCCAGCCTACACTGAAAGACCTTACAAAGCTGGTAGCAAGAGGCTGAGTTTCCCATTATACACATAATACCTGTGTGCTGTAGGACGTACACAGTACTGTGCATTAGGTCTGTGGAAAACAGTAGAAAGCCATTTATGGCCCAGGACACTTGTTTATCCCTGGCTGGTCACTGCCTGTTGCTGAGTGCTGTTGGGGATGGAACTCAGGATTTACAGTATGCTGAACAAGTCCGCCAGTCCTCAGAATTTTTTTTTTAAATAGTTCTAAAAATTGCTGTGAGCCAGGTGTAATGACAGTTCCTACAGAGTAGAGGGGTAAGGTCAGGAGTTCAAGGCTTTCCTCGGCTTCCTGTCGCGCTTGAGGCCAGCCTGGGCTATTTGAAACCCATCCGTGGCCGGGCGGTGGTGGCGCATGCCTTTAATCCTAGCACTCGGGAGGCAGAGGCAGGCGGATCTTTGTGAGTTCGAGGCCAGCCTGGTCTACAAGAGCTAGTTCCAGGACAGGCTCCAAAAACAAAGAGAAACCCTGTCTTGAAAAACAAAATAAATAAATAAATAAAACCCATCCGTGTTCACACAGTACGTCATCCTCATTGCCCTGGCTCTCCCACAGGAGTTGCTGTTTCTGAAACATGCTGTTAGAAGCTCAACTAGAGAACAGCCCCTGAGATTTTTTAATTCGGAAAGGGACCGTCTATGTTAACCTGCCACAGTGGTCCCTTGTGTGTCTGTGAGCAATCTGCATTGGCCTGGGCCTGCTCGGTATTTCACTGAGACTGCCTGCTGTCCCAGGGTTTGCTAAGTGTGCAGTGTCTGTGACCCTTCTGTGGATAGCTGTTGGAGTCATGCAGCTGTGTTCACCAGTGAGCATCTTCACTGTCCTTTTAGGATCTCGGTGTTCGGGTTGTCTGTCTAGAGGGAGCGACAGAAACGGGCATCTGTTTGGCAAGGGCCAGCTTGCTGGGAGAAGGCATTCCCGGCTCGCTTGTATATGGGGTTCTTGCTCCTGGTGGGGCTCATGCAGCCCATTGGGGTGTATATCTTGAATTTCTCCCTGGCTACAGGCCCATCCCAAAGTGGAGACCACCATAGGCTCTGCTATCAGGCGTGTGTTTGGTGAGGAAATGCAGGGAAATGCCCTGCACAGACAGCATAGGCCGTCTCTGCCTCCACACGTTCCTCTCTCTTCCTCGTGTGCCGTAGTCCTCGGTTCCCAGGAGTCAGTGGCAGCATGAGAGGGTGGGAAGTCTAGTCAGCACCTGTTGACTGGCATTGAGACACTGTCTGAGGTGGAGGGATAGGAAGGAAAGTCAGACGCCTCTGCAGCACTTCCAGGATGTGGGAAAAGGCTGGGTTTGAGGCAGTCCAGACAGAAGAGTAACTTCTCTCTGAAGTGATTGTTACAGGGGTCCTGCAGGAGGGCGCTCCAGGTGTGAGGAGGGGGGCAGAGGGTAAGCCTGAGAGGCAGGGATCTTAGGAGAAAGGCTTTGCCGTGGCAGAGATGTGGAGGGAGACCAGGACGGGGACAGCTGGACCGTCGGGTGTGTGTGTGTGTGTGTGTGTGTGTGACAATGGCTGTGGGTAGCATTCTTGGCAAATGGAGGTGACAGGTGGTGAGCCAGGTTGAAAGTGGGTTCAGCTGAGAAAGGCCTGTGGCTGGTGAGAGGACAACAGGCCTGGTCCCGTTAGGGTCTCCTGTCTGTTGGAGGGATTTCAGGATCCTTTTCCATCTCTGCGTGTCTAGCCTAAACTGGAGGGCATGGGGAGTAGCAGCTTGGGGTCCTTCTCAGACAGACCTGGGTAGCAATTGTGGCTCTGTCACTTCCTGACTGATCTTGAATATGGGTTGTTTGTGTCTGCAAAGTGGAGCCATTGCGGTGTTGCCGGTCCAAAGGCATCAGCTGCTGCCATGGTTATAGATAGATGTGCAAATGAGTTAAAAATTAGAGACGTGCCTTATTTGCCCTAGGGACCTTACCCTTCCTTGGTGGCTTATGTGGTCTCTGTGGCCAGGACTTGAGGAAGATTCAGCTGGCGCTTCTGGCCTGGAATGGAAGCTGCTGCAGACAGAAAACGGCCTGGTTGTAATAGGGAGGCAGGACTAAGGCTGAAGGATTGACTTCCAAGCTTGTGGTCCTCCTCACCTAGGGGAGCTCCCGGCTCTTGGCCAGCGGGGCTTATCTTTGGGGCTGGATGGGCATATGACACAGCAGCTTTTCTCCTGCCCCTTTCTGTCTTGTGGAAGGTCCAGGGCCTCAGTGACCGGTCTCAGAAGTGACACCATCACTTCTGGCTAGCATTTAAGAGGAAGGAAGTTAGCACTTGTCTTTGAAAGAGGTATCGGAAGTAGCAAGTCCTGGTGGCGTGTGCCTGTAAGCCTATTATTCGAGAGGTAGAGGCAGGAAGAAGAGTGGTTTGAGGTCAGCCTGGGCTACACAGTAAATTTGAGGTCAGCCTGGGCTAAATAGTTGTAGGAACTGAGACGACTAAATGGTAGATTGTGTTAGTGTATGCAGGGCTCTCGTTTTAATCTCTAGCATCACAGCGATGCCTTGTTCTTGGATGGTATACTGTGATAAACACCTGTTGAACCTAAAACTTGAGCTCAGTCTTCAGTCTTGCGCTTGAATGATTTGTGTGGTAGGATAACGAATGCTTAGGATCTGTCTCTGCTCGCATACCTAGGCATCCTGATAGAGAAAATAGGACTGGAGTGCCAAGCCCTTAGCTAAGCCTTTTGTGTGGTCTCACTCCTGGTTACTGGGCTTCTTTGTGTTTCTGCTACAGGTGAAACGGAGACTGGATCTGGAAACTGACCATCAGTATCTGGCTGGGAGCAGTGGGTCGTTCCGGGGCAGAGGCCGCCACCCAGGGAAAGGTGCTGGTTGACTCTTAGCTTCTCAGGCTCAGATTCGGGGTGGGCATGCTTGTAGACTCGGGGGCCCCAGCAGGCAGCTGGAATGGCTGGCTGACATGACTTCCTCAGGCCTTGGAGGTGGGGAGTTCCCCAGCCACAGAGGAATGCTTTGGTTGGCAGACAGCAGCCACAGGGCCTTTCTGCTTGGCCTGACTAAGAGGAAGGAGCCCTCTGCCTCCCAGCTCATCTTGCCACTCTGCAGTGCTAGGGAGACAGGACTGTTGGGGGCAGGCTGCGTGTTTGAGAAGCCCTGCCTAGCCTAACCCCTGCCCCCCAGGTGTGAAATCTCCAGGGGAGAAGTCACGCTATGAGACATCGTTAAATCTGACCACCAAACGTTTCTTGGAGCTGCTGAGCTGCTCAGCTGACGGTGTTGTTGACCTGAACTGGGCGGCTGAGGTGCTGAAAGTGCAGAAACGGCGCATCTATGACATCACCAATGTCCTTGAGGGCATCCAGCTCATTGCCAAGAAGTCCAAGAATCAGATCCAATGGCTGTAAGTACTGACCAGTCAGGTGGGCTGGTGGCAGCCAGACCAGGCCTGCAGTGACTTCCTGCATTCGTAACAACTGGGAAATCAATGTCCGAGGAGAGGTGTCTTACCTGGGTGATAGACGAGGAGGGACATACAGATCTCACAGATCTAGCTCCCTATGGCTGTACAAGGTGTCCTATCTAGTAAACACACACACACCCGGTGAGGGTTCCCTCTTCCCTTTCCCAGTGGTGCCCATTTTTGGGCCACTGTGCAACCATCATTCCAGCTTTTGCTGTCAACACGGAGGTCGGCCTTACAGCTGTTTTAGTTTTGTTACGACTTCTCCCTTGTGCCTCCCTCTCTACCCAGGCGTCCTACTGGCCTCTGTGGCACATCTGCCTTCTTGGTTTTTGGTGGATCATTCTTCATTCTGTGTTATCTTGTCATTCTGTGGCATGTCTGTGCTGTTGTTTTCTTCCCAGGCTCCTTGGTGGGGTTATGTAGGTATCTGCCGACAGGCTAGGTATTTTACTAAGCCCATGCCAGTCTAACTTGGAGAGCCAGGGAGTGGAGCCAGAGAGGGGAAAGAGCTCACCTACTTCTCACAGAACAGTGGCGGCGGCAGACTGCCTTGGGTGCCAGGACTGGTGGATGGGGTCCCGAGGGCAGCTGCTAACTCTTCTCTGGCTTCCTGCAGAGGCAGCCACACCATGGTGGGAATCAGCAAGCGACTTGAAAGCCTGACCCAGGACCTACAGCAGCTGCAGGAGAGCGAGCAGCAGCTGGATCACCTGATGCACATCTGTACCACACAGCTGCAGCTGCTTTCTGAGGACTCAGACAGCCAGCGATATCCTTGAGTTGGCAGGGGGTGTGGAGGACAGGCTTGGCCGGTGGCGGCACCACACTGAGACACAGAGGTTACCCAGGGCTCTGGATTCTAGGATTCTGGCTTTGGAAGCAATGCCTGCCTCAGCATTTACTCACCATAGCACACTGAACAAGTGACTTGGCTTTCATGGGCCTAAGTTTCATCTGTATAAGAGGATAGTAACCATTTCCAAAATTATGCATATTAAAAAAAGAAAACAACTTTAATCCCAGCACCTGACGGGGGGTGCTCACTGTGAATTTGAGGCCAGCCTGGTCTCTAGAGTAGGTTCCAGGACAGCCAGGACTACACACAGAAGCCCTGTCTTGAAATACAACAACAACAAAAAAAATAAGAAGAAAGAAAGAAAGAAAAGAAGGGCTGACAAGATGGCTTGATGAGTAAAGGTGCTTTTGGCCAATCTTGACCATCTGAGTTTAAGTCCCAGTGAAGGAGAGAACTGACTCCTGTGAGCTGTCCTCCGACCTGCATGTGTGCACGTACACACACACATACCTGTGGCATGTGTGTGCGTGGACACAAAGACACAACATAAGTAATAAGTTTTAAAATAAGTAATACATATTTAAAGAAGCCCAGAATTGGAGAGTTGGCTCAGCACTTTTTTCGCAGAGGACCCAAGTTCAATTCCTTGCATCCACACGGTGGCTCACAACTGTTTGTAACTCTAGTCCTAGTGCATCTGATGCCCTCTTCTGACCTCTGAAGGCAGCAGGTACACGCGTGGTACACAGACACAGAAAAGTCCAGGCTGGGTGTGGTGGTACACACCTTTAAAATCCCAGCACTTGAGAGGCAGAAGCAAGTAGACACCTGAACTCAAGGCCAGCCTGATTTACATATTTCCAGGCTAGCCAGGGATACACAATGAGACCCTTTCTCAACAAAACAAAGATGTGTCCAGTATGATGGTGTGTGCTTGTAATCCCAGGGCCAGGTATGAGGCAGAAACTGCCACATATTCAAGGCGCTTCAAGGCTATTTAGTGAGGCTGTCAATAAAAATAGTCACAGGCCACTGGACTACACGGTGAGACCCTGTCATCAGAGAAAAGGTAGTACCAGTAATTACAAGCCTTTTATTTATTTATTTTTTTTTGGTTTTTCAAGACAGGGTTTCTCTGTGGCTTTGGAGCCTGTCCTGGAACTAGCTCTGTAGACCAGGCTGGTCTCAAACTCACAGAGATCCACCTGCCTCTGCCTCCCGAGTGCTGGGATTAAAGGCGTGCACCACCATCGCCCGGCAACAAGCCTTTTCTTAGTCATTGATTTAGTGCCTGATTGTAGCTTCAAAGTTAAGACCTTTTAATTCACAAAAAGAAACTTCATTAGAATATCTATCTTTTTAGTAAATACCATTGATTAACAGCAAGATTGTCAAAAACAATTTCCACCTCCCAGCCTGGAGACTTGTTGAGCATTTTATGTGGAATTATTGCAGGCAGCCATTAGTTTAGAACTGGATGGGTAGATCTCTGTACAGATGTGGCAGTTGAGCTTAGGAGTGAGGCTCTGAGCACCTACTATGTGCCAGGCTGTGAGATGAAGGAGTAAAAACAGGAGTGACTAGATAGGGGTGAAACTTCATATGTGGGCTGAGTCCTGGGTTCCTCAAAGGTCAGTGGCCCTTGACTCCCCCAACCCTGGCCTATGTGACCTGCCAGGACCTTCGTAGCATAGCGGACCCTGCAGAACAGATGGTCATAGTGATCAAGGCCCCTCCTGAGACCCAACTACAAGCTGTGGACTCTGCAGAGGTGAGATTCGGGACCCCAGGCCTGATCAAGACAGGGTGGGCAGGGCTGATGGCCACCTGGACCTCAGTTTACCCTGCCTGCTGCCTCCGTGCAGACATTTCAGGTCTCTCTTAAGAGCAAACAAGGCCCCATCGATGTTTTCCTGTGCCCTGAGGAGAGTTCAGGAGGCATCAGCCCTGGGAGGACCCCATGCCAAGAGACATCATCTGGGGAGGACCGGACCTCTGACTCTGGCACTGCAGGACCTCCACCATCAACTCCTTCCACATCCCCGACCTTGGATCCCAGCCAATCCCTGCTAGGCCTGGAGCAAGGTAGGTAGGGGCAGGTTTTGATCTCCTGTTTGGGCAGTCAGTCATGGCAGCCCCTTTGCTGCTGAGCTAGCTCTAACCTGTAATGCCTGCTTTCCCCAGAACCAGTATTGTCACGGATGGGCAGCCTGAGGACCCCCACGGAAGACCATCTGTCACCGCTGGTGGCTGCTGACTCACTCCTGGAGCATGGTCGAGAAGACTTCTCTGCGCTCCTCCCTGGGGAGTTCATCAGCCTTTCCCCACCCCATGAGGCCCTTGACTACCACTTTGGCCTTGAGGAGGGTGAAGGCATCAGAGATCTCTTTGACTGTGACTTTGGGGATCTGACCCCTCTGGATTTCTGACGGAAGCCTAGGCAGCCAGGGCGTCTACCCTGTCTGCAGCTTTGGAGCCTCCTGCCCTGGGCCATCCTTCCTGCCTCATTGGAAAAGCACGATTCATACCCTCTTCTCTTTGCAGTAGCTTCTAGCTCTGGGGTTTGGCTGCTTCAAGATGAGCAGACCAAAAGGGGAAGGATTTTGTATGGTGTGTGTGTGCATGTGCACGCGCATATACACCCCACACTGCGCAGTGTATGTGGGGTATATTCTGTGTGTGTGCGTGCGTGTGCATGTGTGTGTGTACCGGGGAATGAAGGTGAACACATCTGTATGTGTGCTGCAGACACATCCTGGTGTGTCCACATGTGTGCATGAATCCATGTGTGCGCATTGGGGTGGGGGTGGGGCTCTAACTGCACTTTTGGTGTCCTTGCTGCAAAGGCCCTGTGAGGCCCAGGGTGGCTGCCTGCTCCCAGAATTCTGTGTCAGCCAGGCCAAGTGGGACAGCTATCTTGGCTAGCTGGGATTGCAGAGCGGCAAGAGCACTTCTTAAAGGTTTTCCGATCGAAGCTTTAACGGAGCATTTATTTATTTATCGAGGCCTCTGGCAAGCCCGGGGAATAAGCTAAGGGTGGGAGGGATATGGGGCTGATACCCCTACTTCCTATACTCTGAAGCAAGGGCAGTGTCCCATAGCTTTTTTTTTTTTCTTTGCCCAACCCCAAAGGAGCTGAGGCCCAAGTAGTTTATTTATTGGGAAAGTGGGAGGCGGGAAACAGACTGACAGCCATGGATGGGGAGGTGGTTCCCTTTCAGAAGGTTGTGCCAGCACCCTGGCTGCACCCTTTTGGATTTGAGGTGGGAAAAGCGAATGAGGGCCTTCACTGACAGGGTGGACAGGAGGGTGGGTGTGGGGTTCCTCCTGTGTTTGGAGTGCCCCTCCATTATCCTCCCCACCCTCCAATCTGCACTTTGATTTGTTTCTTAACACTTCTGTTCCCTCCTGCTTTGATTTTAATAAATATTTTGATGGTGTTAGGCCTGGGTTTGGGACTCCACACTGGTGTGAGGCTAGGGTCGGAGGGATTACTCATTCCCTGTTCCTATTAAGTTCCTCTCCGAATGTGACCACTTGAGAGGAAGAAAACTGACCCAGTGACTAGTAGGAAGCCATACATATTTCCTAAGTGCAGAAAGGGAGTGTTAAGAGTCGGCTTGCTGTGCGCCTTCCGGACATTTCTGAGCATTAGTAAAGATGCAACAACACGGTGAAGTGTATTGTGTCAGATGCTTTTGGATGCGTGCGAGTGTGTGTGTGTACTTGCAGCATGTGTTCCTCTAGGCCTGTCTTACAAGTGAGAACACCCAAAGTTTCCTGGAAGAGGTGCTGGGGCTGAGATCTGGGAGAAGAGTGGTGACTTGGGAATCCATGACGTGTTAATTCTTAAATGTAAGTCCTTTGAGCAGAGCATCTATAATCTTGAGGGGCACCTGTTAGCCTCAGATACCCAGAGATAAGAGCTTGTGGGCTTGACCTGTTAAGGCTCCTGCCCACACCAGACTGTGTAGAGCTGCTGGTCCTGAAGAACTGGCAGGCTGTCGTTGCTAGTGACCCCTTACCCCACCCCTTTTGGAAGCCTCTTCCAGGCAGGGAAACCGAGGCCAGATGGGGCGGGGCCGCGCTTGGGCCAATGGGCGCACGCCCCGCCCCCAGCCAACCTAGGCGGCCTGGGAACCGCAACCCGCAGCTTTGCGAGCCTCCGAGCCATGGCGTGCACCCGGTTGCTCGCTGTGTGCTTGCTCCGGCCACCCGCGCCCCAGCCGCCGCGACACCCCGCGCCTGCCGCGGGACACGCGCTTTTCCAGGATGTGAGTAGGGCACCGGTGGGCGGGCACAGGGCTCCCCAGGTCTCGGTCTTTCGTGGTCCTGTCTCTCCCTCCACATCCAGTTGATTATGCTTCGGTCCCTCTCCCAGATTATCTGTGACCCTGCTGTTATCCCCCTGCCTTTGTGTTCCTTATACTGTCTGTGCCGCTCCGTGTCTCTCCTTGTCTCCGCAATAGTGTTACTGTCCTCCACCCCAAATATGCCCAGTGGGGCTGGGGCTCTAAATACTCAGTCACAGTAGCCATCACCAACCTGCTGGGCTGATGGGACTTGGTAGCCTGGACCTAGAAGGAATCTCTGTCCTGCCCCAAAAGCCTCAGGCCTCACCAAGGGTGGCAGAGTCCTGCAGTTGGTAAGGGACTCCCCTCATGGGCAGCAGGTGGCATTAAAACCCCCTTATATGGCTTTAGAGCATCCTGACTGCCTCAGCCACTGCTCTAAGCCCCCTATACCCTCCCCCTTCTTTTTTTTTTAACCTCTCACTGATATGCTCAGCTGGTCCTGGCCCTCTCCTGCCCCTACTCCAGAGGTCCTTGCTAGTGGGAGAGGCTGTCATGCCCCTTCCCCAATGTCCTAGTGACTCAGCACGTTGACCGTAGTCCTTCAGGCCTAAGGAGATACATTCCAGGTCACAAATGGAGTCAGTGGGCACACTAGGATGTAGATGAACGTGTCTTCATTCCAAGCTTAGCTCTTCTGTCCCAGCCCATCCCAGAGACCCCAGCTAGGCCACACTGAAGTGCTGTGTGACCCCAGTCTAGCAGTGGGCCTTCTCTGAGGCAGCCTGAGGGTTACATTGGTTGTTTAGACCAGTGACCCTGGCTGGAAGAGTTTAGCTTCCAGGACCCTGGCCTAGAGGGTTCTGTCCAGGCCATGAACTTGGTGCCCTTTGCTAAGCTGTTTTGGAGGACTGGTTCCTAGTAGGGCAGGCACTGGAGAATGCTGCTGTCTGCTTCATCACTGCCTCTGCAAACAAAGTCTGCTGACCCTTGCCATCTTCCTTGCTCCTCATGCAAATGTATATGCACAGATCCCAGCCTTTGAGATGGTCTCTTCCCCAGTCCTGAAAGGGTTAAACTCAGGCTACTCCCTCACTACTAGTGGGAAAACCAAAGCGCCCACAGAGGGCTAGCCAGTGGCTGCCAGTCTTCCACAGGCACAGTAAAAGCCTACTCAGTGAGGGTGGATGGAGAATGGACTACAGGAGGGCACGCAGAAGAGCCAGGGTGTAGGTCTGGTGAAGCTTTCACGGCTCCTCAGGACGGATCTTGGGCCATCTGTTCAAGCTTCCTCAAGCTGGGACCATGCCAAAGGCTGATCCATTAGAGGGAACTCAGGCTAGACTCCAGCTGTGGGAAGTGGAGGTACAGAGAGCTGGCCAGGAACACCCACCCACCGTGAAGTTGCCCTGCAGCAGGAGGGAGTCAGCCTTAGGGCTTGCTGTGCGGATCTTCCTGTGGTACCTTGCTGGAGACTCTGGCAGTACTGCCCTAAGCCGGCGATGCAGGGGAGCTGGCTGTCCAGCTGGGGCCCCATTGGCTTGGGAGGGGACTCCTAGCTCCACTCACAGCACCCTCTTATTTCCCTTTGGCCCTTAGGTTTTCCGCAGAGCAGACAAGAATGGTGAGTGTGGCTTCTTCCCCTCTGGTCCCACAGCCTATGTGTGCGGCGGGGCGTGGGGGTGGGGGAGTGGGGTGGTAGGAGAGCTAGGGAGTTATAGCCTAGAGTGAAGTCTTGAGACTCCCAAGTGAGAGATAAAGCTAGGGACACTGCCTGGAGAACAGATGGTATGCAGAACAGGGAACAGAGAAATATGCTTTGACCTGAAGCTGGAGCTGGGGGCTTATGTTTGACCCGAGGCTGGAGCTGGGGGCTTATGTTAAGCAGTACTTTAGCTCCATGATGGGTGCTTGTATAAGACCTCGTAAAGCCCGTACAACAGCTTGCGAGGTGGGGATTCCTCACTCCATTTCACAGGGAAGGAACAGAGGCTCAGAGGAGGACATCAATTGTCTAACCCTTTAAGTAGTGGCCCTGAGACCCAGATCACCCTAGGCTCCCTGGATGAGGTGGTGGAGCGCCCCATTCAGCCTTCACTTTTCTTCCCCATGGGGCTGCAGATTCCTATGTTTCAGCTTCCTGGTGTCCCCAAGTGCTTGTCCTTTTATGAGCCTCTTCAGATTGATTTAAGACACATGCTCTCAGTGCATTCTGTGGCAGAGGCCCAGGCCCCACCCCCCATCTTTGCTTATCACTCAGACCAAACCCCATCATCTTTAACCATCTTGTTCTGTTCTCTGCCTCTGCTTCCATCCCCCTATGCCAGAAAGCTCATTCTCACCAGAGCCAGTCTGCTGCTTTGTAGAGTCTGTCAGAAGGCTTCGCCTCCTCCTCTGTGACCCTGGAGCAAGGCTAGTTTATGGGACCAGGGACTGTGCCCCTAAGTCCTGAGCCATGCTCTGGTGTGTTCCAGACGGTTCTCTCATACTTCCATTTGACAGATACCGAGTCCCTACCAAATGTATCCTGTACGAGGAGTCTCCTTCAGCGTATACTTTTGGGTACTCTTGTCCTTTTGTCCAAAACAGTCAGGGCCACCACTAAGGCCACCACTCTAGGCTATCTGGCTGAGTGATTGTGAATGCTGCCAGGCCTTTGGGGAACCTGAATTTGGGGGCAGGATACAGCCAGGACTCAAGGATACCAACTCCATGCCTTGCCTCTCCCCAGACGATGGGAAGCTCTCCTTTGAAGAATTCCAGAATTACTTTGCTGATGGGGTTCTCAGCTCAGTGGAGCTGCGAGAACTGTTCAGTGGAATCGATGGGCATCTCACCGAGTGAGTCTAACCTGGCCAGGTTGTCCCTACCTGTGTCCCCTGCTATCACGGCTCCTTCTGGAGGCAAGGGGGTGGGGAAAGACGTCAGGGCCCAGCGCCAATTTTATCCACCCACCTACACCCTCTTCAGCGCCAGCCTTGTTGCTACACTGCTTCCAGCTGGGACCCCAGAATAACTGGGCTTGACTCACCACCCGTGCTCAGCGCCTTCATTCCCATGCAGAGGATGTCTGAGGACAGCTGGGTCCTGCCTGCCTCCGCCTGTGGATGCAGGTGCAGGAATACACATCTTCCCATGTGTCCACATACACACATCTGCTTCAAGTAGACACTCCTTCCCTGCCTCTTCACTTGGGGACACACACGCCATGAATGTGCAGAGCCACTCCCCTCCCCTCCCTTCCTTCCTCTTCTCCTTGGTGTGTATGTCCCAGACTAGATCAGCATTCAAGGCTTCAGAGGCTTGGACTGACCCCTTTGAAGTGCCTATGCCCCTCCCCCACCAAACAGATGCCATGCCAGGTTATGTAAATGGGCTGGGGACACTGGCACCTACGTTCAGTTCACAGGCCCAGGTTCTAAGAGTCTGAAGAATGTTTTCTCTTTCCCTCACAGCAATTTAGAGACAGAGAAACTGTGTGGTGAGTAGAGGCCTGTGTTGGCCCCTGTGTCCCAGCCCCTGGGCAGGCGGGTGTGGTGAGGGTACCATGGGGTAGGAAGCCGGGGGCAGCTGAGGAGTTCCAGGCTGGAGAGATGGTGTGGCTGGAGCCCCTTTTCTGCCTACAGACTATTTCTCCAAACACCTGGGCGTCTATCGGCCTGTGCTGGCTGCGCTGGAGTCACTGAACCGTGCGGTGCTCACTGCCATGGACACGACAAAGCTGGTAAGTGCAGGGAAGAGCCCGTGGGGACCTGCAATGATGGCTCGCTGCAGTGGGACTCTTCCCTGTCATAGCTCAGGGCTGTAGAAAGGAGCTGGGATTCAGACTCGGGTATTCCCACTTAACTGCCCTTTACTGCCTGATCCAGTTTCGTCATCTAAAAGCTAGAGGTGATAATGAATTAAGTGGGCCATGGTGGCTCACACCTGTAATCTCAATACTCAGGAGACAGAGGGAGGAAGATTTGCTGTCAGTTTCAGGCCAGCCTGGCTAGAGTTAGACCCTGTTGGGGGAGGAAGAGGCAGAAAGTTAGTGTTTTGTTCTTTGTTCTATTCCCAGTACCCAAAACAATTCAGGCAACATAGTAAGTTTTTGTTGACCTGATATAATTGCTGGGGGCTGTCAAGCCAGGACCTAGTAGGCATGGGCTAGGACGTAGGAGATGAGGTGATACATGTCCACAGGTACATGGAGCCTATGAGGCAGGGCCTAACCTCAGGACATGTGAGACAGGTGTCTATAGATATGTGTACCTGTTTGTTGGCCTATATTATAACCTGTGTAGACAAGTGTTGACAGCCAGGGCTCCAGACCCTTAGTGATCAAAACCAAAACAAAACAAAAAACCACCCCCTTTATGTGTTAAGCTAGGTGGTAGCTTACACTTTTTCTTTTTGGAGACGATTTCCCTCCACTGTCCTGGAACTTGCTCTGTAGACCAGGCTGGCCTTGAACTCAGAGAGCTGCCTGCCTCTGCCTCCTGAATTCTGGGATTAAAGGTGTGCACCTCCACTGCCTGGTGGTGGTTCACACTTCTAACCCCAGCACTTGGAAGAGGCTGGAAAGCTTGAGACGAAACCCAGCCTCGGCATATAGCTGAGATCCTGTCTTAATAGAGAAAAACTCTCTTTCCCCACGTCCACGGCTCTTCTGGAGGTGGGTTGAGCAGGCCTGGGGCATTTCCCAACTATCCTTTTTTTGATATTCGAGGATAGACCCTAAGGCTTTGCACATGCTAGTCACTGCCGCTCCCCTCCCCCTACAGAAAAGGGAATGCTGAGAGCTTCAAGTGAGGGGCAGGGCTTCTAGGTCCCTCATATTAAGAGTTTTTTTTTTTTTTCAAATGTTCTTTGAGCCTGGCCCAGCTGGGGGGAGGGGGTGCTGACATTCTCTAAACATGTGGTGGTTTGGGTTTTCAAATGAAAGCAAAATGAGGGTCAGGGTTAGCCCAGAAAGGGAAAAGGGTAGTCCACGCACATATAACCCTGCCAGCTACAAACACTTCAATCTGTTTATCTGGTTCTCCACGCTAGGCCAGAGTTGCCTCCTCTGTTCCTGCAGTGCCCCTGGTGTCACCAGTCATTCTGCGTCCATATAAAACTCAATCGAACACTTCTCGCACCAGAAAAGGGCCATACTCCTCGTACATGGCCCGAGTCATCCAACGGCACTGAAAAGAGTTCAGGGAGGCCATCATGGAACCTCCAGTCCACACAGCTGTGCCCCGCCCAGGCTGAGCCACCAGACAGGGCTGCAGGGCCGGGTACCCATGCCTCCGGCACTGTGCCTCTAGCTCCAGCTTCATGCGCTCCACAAAGCCCGGGAAAAGGGTGGAACCACCAGCCAGCACCACCGTACTGGCCAGGCGTGTCCGCAGTGTTGAGGGAATCTTCTGCAGTGCCTGGAAGGCCAATGTGGGCAGTCCTGGCTCAGGGTGGCCTAGGAGACTTGGCTGGAAGAGGGGTTCAGGGCAGCGGAAGCGCTCGCTGCCGAGGTACACGTAGCAGCCATCCCTCAGGCAAAAGCAGGCCCTCTGGTGGCGGGCAGGGTCACAGATATCACCCTGGAAATCTAGGGACACATAGCAGCAGCGCTTCTTGAGCTGTGTAACGGTCTTGCGGGGCAGAGCCTGCAGCTGAAGATCAGGGCACGCCGCCACCAGCAGGTCTCGAAAGTAGCGCGACAGGGTGCTACCTGCCACATTCAGACGGAAGGTGGCCTTGTGCCACGAGTGACCTGCGTAGACGGGTGTGGCGTGGCACACGCCTGCTCCCGCCTCTACAGCCAGCCCACTGAACGCTCCGGTGGAGCAGAGTGCCAGCAGTGCCGTGCTGGCCATGTGGCACGCGGGCACAGTCAGGGCCTCGAACAGCAGCTCGGCCACCTTTTCTCGGCCCTCCGGTGGTGCTGATGGCGAGTCGCTCACGAGCACGGGCCACTGCTCGGGGCGGACCTGCAGGCCTCCTACCATTAGACGCTCCCACAGTCCCTCCAGTGCGTCCCAGTCCACCACCACGCCGTGCTTGATAGGGTGCGCACGCGCCACGCCGCCTGCCAGCTCGCAGCCCGGTGCTCCAGGCAGCACTGGCCGGTCCCAACTTGGCATCAGACTTGAGCTCTTCAGCACAATGCGCGGCTGGAGCTCCCCGGCGAAGCCTGCCTTAGTGAAGCCGGAACCTTGGTCTACCACCACCGCAACGTGATCCAAAGAAGGGAGCCTGTGGACGCGGCGGGTCCTGGGCACCGACGCCACCTTCTGGGCTCAGGGTGCCCCGAAGCCCTGTGGGCCTTCTGGGCGATAACCAGCCCTCAGTTCTCAGCTCCGCCTCTGGCTACGAGGCCCCGCCTCTTAGGGCGGCGGTTCCTTTTTTGGCTCCACCCCAAAGGGGGGTGTGGCCCTGCTGTTAGTCAGTACTTAATTCCTCCTTAGGGTCCTAGAGTCCGGGCACGGCACCCAGCTTGGCTAGAGAGTTACCTCGCTGTGGAGGTGGGAAGGAATGGTTCGAGAAGAAAGGAACTTAGATTGGGCTCATTGTGACCTCAGTCTGGCCGCGTAACCCCCACTCGCTTCCTCCTGCACAGGGCTGATGGCAGCCATTTGGGAGCCCATAATAGGGGCCTGGCTGACCAGCACAGCCGATTCTTTTCCCAAACGCTTGGAGTATCTGTGTACTCCGGCCACAGTTCTAAAGAGAAAGCTCTCAACCATATATCTAGTTACAGTGAGAACTTCCCTGTGCTCAACCTTATAGACACACGGACAACCTTATAGACACGGGTCTAGTCTGACCCCTTCAGCTCTGAGGCCCACATAACCACCTAAGCAAGCCCAAATCTTTGTAGTGTTTCTTGCTCCTAAAGGTAGCCACAAGCCTGCCTCCTGGATAGACTATTCTCTTTAGGATCATTTTGGTTATAAATAGAAGATTCAGATGCACTTGAGCTAAAGATAAGGACTATATGGATACGGGATGTTTTCTGGATCACAAGGGCGGGAAAAGTCTTAGGAACAGCATGTGACCATAGGGTTGTGGTTAACTGGTAAGTTCTCTTAAAGTTCCCATTACAGTCCTGGAGAAGGGCATGATAGAGCCAATTTGGGGCAAGCGCACAGGTGCTGAGAACTGTGTGACTGGGCAATTAACTCTCAGTAGGTACTATGCTGTGAAGGGGGGGGGCACACGTTCTCGACATGTCCACAGTCTGTCCACAACTTATGGTTCCAGTGGCTTGAGACCTTCATCCTGCTACCTCTAGTCCCAAGGGAGCATCAATGTGTGACAGGAAAGGCGACTCAGAGTTTTTGTTTCCTGAAACAATCTGCTGCACTGAACTCAAGATCCTCCTGCCTCATCCTCTTGAGTGCTGGTATTACCCCAGCAGCCTACAACTGGAGATAGTAGCTTTAGGGTCTGTTCTGGAAGCTGGGTGTGGGATCCAAGAAAGCCAGCAGCTGGCTTCTCCCCTAACGTGCTGCTTCTCTCAGGAATGATACGAGGAGTAAGAATGACTTTGAAGCCCACTGGTGCCACGAAAGTACGGAAAAAGCAGGTGGCAGGAACTGAGGGCAGACAGGTTGGGGAGATGGGCAAGCACGTCCCAATTTTAGCCTTGGGCTTTAGTGGGGCTAGTGGAGAAACACTGGGCAGTGGTGGCAGGAGAAATAAACTGCCTTAGAATCGCGGTTTGGAAGAAGCTTTGGCTACATGTGGGGTAGAGGATGAAACTTGGTACCTTGGGAGAAAAGTGCTTTGACCTGAAAATTTGGGGAATTAAAAGCTTGGGAGTTACTGATCACTCGCAGGCAGGAGACAGACCAGAGAGGCTCAAGCCTTTTTTCTTTTGTGTTTTGTTTTTCGAGACAAGGTTTCTCTGTAGCTTTGAAGCCTATTCTAGAACTAACTCTTGTAGACCAGGCTGGTCCCGAACTCGCAGAGATCCGCCTGCCTCTGCCTCCCGAATGCTGGGATTAAAGGCGTGCGCCACCACTGCCCAGCTCTCAAACCCTTCTTGAGTGTTTTGCCATAGGTGGACTCTGTAGTTCCACACCACCATGGCTGGCCAGCCTCTCTGTTCTTCCTGATATGATGTCTGCTAGGAGCCTGGGACCCTCCCTCCGCCTATGAGGGATTTCTGAACGTTGAGGACTCTAGAAAACCTCAAGCCTTTGGTGAAAACAGGTTATCCCAAGCGTAGCCAAGTATAGATTGCTCAAGCCCAACTTGAGCCTGTGGGTATGGCATGAGCTGACTTTTGTGCCACAAAGATAGGTTAGGCGCAGCTCTAGCTCCAGGTCGTGGTGATGGCTCTGCTTCATTCTTACTCACCGGGGGGCCTCAGCAGGGACAGAAGTGGAAGACGCCCAGGTTGCTACGTGCTCTTTATTGAGCGGAGTCCTAGCGCGGAGGAGCCGTGCCAAGCACTCAGGGCCGCGGGCGAGGGCAGCGGCGCCGCTTGCGCGGCTGCTCCTCGCGGGGGTCGCCTTCGCTGCAGACCTCGTGGTGGGTGAGCAGACGCGCGTACAGCGGCTGCCAGCCCTGCTGGGCCTTGGCCCCGCCCCCCCGCCCGCCAGTCGCGCGACGCCCTTCCTCCTGCAGCCGTGCTTCCAGCTGCAGCAACAGCACCAGGATCCTTTTCATCTCCCCGGAGCGAGCGCCTTCGCGCCTGTCCACGCCGTCGCCTGCGCCACGCAGCATGGGGGCCACCGCTGGGAAGCATGTTGGGGCGCCGAGCGCATCCTCAACCGGCCGCCCGGGCCGCGCACAGGGGCACGCTGCTGCCTCGGCCAGCTGCTGCCGCTTGTCCAGCGGGAAAAGCAGTACGATCTTGGTCTGGGGGTGGGCGGGTTGTGATGGGAAGAACGCGCCAGGGCAGGGCCTGAAGCCACTCCCGTGCCTCGGGAGGACCCAACCTCCCGAACCCCATGGTGCCATCAGGGCCGTTCACCCCGCACCCCGGGACCCTGCCTCCTCACAGGAACCCATCGTCCACCCATGGCCCATCCACTGCGTACTTTCCCAGCCTTGATGCGGAGGTTCTCACCCACCCGGGCGGAGTCAGGGGCCTCACGCCATTGAAAGAAAGGGAAAGTGATGTGCTGTGAGGCTGTGGGCTGGAGAGAGGGAGTAAAGGATAATCCATGTCTGTGACCCCAGCGACACCTACGCCTTTGGCCTCACCCCTGGATAGAACCCCACTTTCTGCCCTTGCTTCTAGGGCCCCTATACCACCTATGTGGGCTTCAGAGACTCTCCACCTCTAAACAGATTCTCTAAGCCCTCTCATGCCCCTGGGTCTAAAGGCGCAGACTCCAGCACCCGGTATCCCATCGGGCCTCCTCCCTACTCACACTTGGCTTCTTCCGCTTGAGGTGGCTGAAGAACTGCTTGTGACGGGCCTTGTCCATGTCAGGCGGCCTGTCCTTGCTGGCCTGACTGGGTGCTTTGGTCCTCTTGTGGGAATTGCTGTTTCCCATGGTAGGACTGGTCACTGGAGGCCACTGCCCATGCTGCCTCGGCCCTGCCCTCTACCCAGGGGTCCCGTTTGGCCCCGCCCCACCAAGTGAACGGCATTGTGAGCTCACAAGTGACCTCATTACACCAAAGCTCCGTTCTTCCCCTGGACGGCTCCAGCCCCGGAGAATCTGGCCTCTATTCATTTTCATGACCTCTTCTGGGCTCAGCTTCCCAGCTGCAAAACAGGGCTAGTGCTTTACCCAAAGAATGCTTAGAAGGTGCTTAAAGGTGCACAGAGAGGAAATTTGAATCTTGGCCTGCCACTAATTAGGTGCTTAATCTTGGCCAAGGTTCAACCAACCTCTCAAGGCCTCAGACACGGAGTAGAATCAACTATGGTTCCTACAAATTATGACAGGTAAATGAGATTCTTGGGATGAGTCTGGCATGGGGTGGGTGGTTCTACCAATCAGGCTTTTTTGGTTGCACATAGCAGAAAATTCATCAGTCCTCATATACCTCCAAAGGGAAGTTACTGAAAAGGGTGGCACCGAAACAGGTCCCACAGACTTCAGGACAGGAATCGGGCACTAGTCCAGCCCTTTTGTTGTAAGCCTGGTCCACAAGGTACCATCTGGGCTGAGCCAAGGCAGGTGGTAGGCAAGCAAAGCCCGTGATAGATGTTGCTGTGGAGCACGGCTCTCCATGGCTCCCCAGGACTCCCACCTTAGGTTCGGGTGTGTGGTGGGGGTGAGGGCTTCTCAGGGCATCCTGACTGGTCAGGTATGTAGCTGGCCAGATTACTAACAGTACGGCACAACAGTGGGGGCGTTTTCAGATTGAGAACTCCGACTGCGGGCACTAGGCTCAGCCCTTTGTAGCAAGTAACGGAGGGCAGCCTCATTCAGTCCTGTGGGAGAGATGGAGGTACACAGTGAAAGCAGTTGAGGAGAGTGGGTATCCCAAGATGGTTGGCAACGGGCCTGAGGCATGGGCAGCCTCTCTGTCTCTGCCTACCTTCAGGGAACTGAGGGAAGGCTGGTAGTAGGGGCTGGGGTCAGTGCAGGCAAGTGTGTTTGTGTCTCTTCAGGGACCTGGATGTCTTGTATATGTAGCGTCTAGAAAAATCCATGCAGCAAACGTTGGTTCCAGAGACTGGTGAATGGAATAACAGAAGAGCAAACACACACAGCACACGCAGACTGTGAGCGGGTCCAACAGGCCCGTAAGAGGCCCAAGTGTAAAAGTGGCCTTACTGCCCTGCACCTTTACCCTGCCTGGCTGTGCCCAGGAACATCACTGGCTGTGGCAAAGATGAGATTAACAGAGAAGAGAAACTGAGATCCAGGAAAAGAAGTGTAGTAGTGGGCTGTGATCCTTAGGCGGCAGCCTACCTGCCAGGATGAAAATACCCCAGCCTGGACCAGGAAAGGGGCCCTCAGAAGCTGGGCACACTGGTGCCCATTTTTAACTCTAGCACTGGGAAGGTGTAGGCAGGAGGATCATGAAGCTAAAAAAGACCCTATCTCCAAACCAAACTTGAAAGTGAGTGACTGCCTGTGCCGGGCCTGCATGCCCTGAACCTGACTTCCCCTGCTACTCCCGTGAGTAAGACATAGGCAGACAGCAAGGTAAGCTCCTTCTTCAACCACACCTCTCTCCCTGCCCACAGGAGTATGAACAGGCCTCCAAGGTGGACCAGTTTGTCACACGGTTCCTGCTTCGAGAAACTGTGAGTCAGCTACAAGCCCTGCAGAGCTCCCTGGAGGGGGCATCAGACACCCTGGAGGCCCAGGCCCGAGGTCAGCGGTACGTGAGAGGGCTGTTGGCCTGTGGTCTGGTGTGTGCCTTTTGTTCTTGCATTCCAAACTCCTCAGTTCCATGGTCTACCCAACCTCTTGGACAGGAAAGCCATGAGCTGGTCAGAAGGGATAGATAGTTTGGGGACTGGGATTCAAAGACCCAGGCGATCTGCCTTGCCCCACCTAAGCTTGGTCCTGTGCTGGAATCCTGGTCTTGACCCTGTTGTGGCTCTGGGGATAGCAGGCTGACCTTCTACTTTCTAGGTTGAATGAAGAACACATTCAAGTGCAGAGCAGGTCCCGTAGCAGCCGGCGGGCGGGGCGCAGAGCCCTGAAGAGCATCAGCTGGTCACCAGCCTGGTCTCCTGGATCCTCTGATACAGGTGTGCTTACGGCAGGGTAGGATCTGGCTGCACAGGGTCCAGGGAAGATGTGCCATCTCCTATTCTCTTAGGGCTTTGCTCCGCCACTGTTCCCAGTTTGCCCTGAGAGGACTCCCAGCTTCGGGGGCCCCTGGCTGATATCCTCCTGGTCTCCCTATCAGGGTGGACTTCAGAGGCTGAACTGCAGTGGCGGCTGCAGGTCAATCGCCTCCAGGAGCTCATAGACCAGCTTGAATGCAAGGTAAGTGGCTGGGTGGCCGGTGCCCCTTGAGGACCTGCCCATGCCAAACATGTGAGGTTCGACCTACATTCTTTGCCCTTTGCAGGCACCCCGTCTGGAACCCCTGCAAGAGGACCTTGCCAAGGGGTCTGACTCGGTGAGCTTGGGAAGGAGTGCTCATGAAGAAGGGTAATGGCTGTCTACTCGGACCTGGGAGGCAGGTGCTGGGTTCTGGTTCTTGCTCTATGACCCCCTTAGGTTTTCTGCTCTCTCATCTGTATCTCTGAAAGTCAGGCCTAAGGTAGGAATGGAAGCAAGAGGGCACAGTGGGAGGTGGTACCACCGACAGGGTCAGTGGCTTGGAGGATGGAGTCAGAGATGCTGGGAGGTCCTGTCAGTTGTGGGAACCTGACCCCACAGGGTGCAGATCTGAACCATATTAGGAAGGGTGAGGTCATACTCTGAGCCTAGCTGACCCTAGTGACTAGCTGCTCTCTTGCCAGCACATCCTTGTGGCGCAGAGACAGGTCCAGGTGGCAGAGGATGCCCTGCAGGATTTTCACCGTGCCCTGTGCTGCTACATGAACTTCACAGGGGCCCAGAGCCATTGTCTACAGTGAGTCGCTGGCTAGCTAGTGGGATGTTTGAGGCGGGAAGGGGTAAGCAGGAGGGATGGTGAGCTGGGTAATCTGGGCAAGGCTCCCATGAGATCCTTGTCAGGTAGTCAGTGGTGGTCATAGCCCTGGTCCAGCCTAGCTACCTCTGGCTCTGCAGTGTGTCTGCCCAGAAGATGCTAGACCATGCTGCCTTCACCCTCTATGAGTTCTGGCAGGATGAAGCCTCCTGGAGAAGGTGAGTGGTGGTTTAGCCGCTGACACTGACTATGGGTTCTGGAGGGGTTCTGACTAGGTCCAAGTCCTACCTTCCTGTTCCCTGGCTGTGTGACTTCAGATAACTTACCTAACACATCTGGGTCCCAGATGAGATGATGTATAAAGAATGAATGCAAATTAGGTATTGAGTGCATGCCTGTTATATCAACACTGAAGGCAAAGGTAAGAGAGCTCGGAGTTCAAGGCTAGCCTGGGTTACACAGCAAATTCAGCAAAGCCCTGTTTCAAAACAAAACAAACAGACAAACAAAAACAACAGATAGTTAACACAAGTTGGCCATGGTGGCACAAACCTAAACTCCCAGCACTTGGAAGGCAGAGGCAGGAGGATCAATGATTATAAGGCCAGCTGGACTATATAACAAGACCCTATAAAACAAACTCAAAGAACTCAAGACAATGCCAGGTGCAGAGCAGGCACTCCGTGAATGTACACTGTTGTCAGTGTGTGCCCCTGTGCTGGCAGTAGTCTAGTGATGTAGGTACCTTGTTCCCATTTTACCCAGGGGGAAACTGGAAGCTAGAACAGTAGAGGAAGGGTTGGTGCTTGAGTCCAGGCAGCAGGACTAATGTTGGGTAACGAGAGCAGAGCACTGATCTCAGAGCAGATGGCTGCAGACTCTGTCTCTTCCATGGCCCTCCCAGGCACCAGCAGTCGCCCTGCAGCAAGGCCTTCCAACGCACTCTCATCGATCACCTGCAGGCCCCGGACACCCTCACCACTGTGTTCTTCCCAGGTGTGTTGTACCCTGTGCTCCAAACAGCTCTAGGACCAGGGGGCAGCCCCTCCCCCAGCTCCTGACCTCCCAACCTCTCACCCACAGCCTCCTGGTGGATTATGAATAATAACTGAGTCGGGTCTGCTTAAGCTGGTGACTCTGCAGCATGGCCCATCACTCTAGAGCCTTCTGCACTGGTCAACTCTACACTAAAACCAAGAAGTCTGCCTGTTCTCAGGCTAAGGGCCTGATCAGCTGGTAGAGGGGTTTCGCACAGGGATCAGGGACTGGGTTGCCTGCTTATTTATTTTGCTGTTTGTAGCTTCCAAGTACCTGGGCTTCTGCCTGACTCGGGAAGCCCAGATCCTGGTTCCCTTGTCCTCTGCCTTGGTGTGTGACCCAGGCAGATCCCTTCTCTCTCTGGCTGCCTAGGAGTGCCCTGCTTTCTGTTTGTTGTTTTGGGGTTAGGTTTCTGTTCTTCCTCAACCAGTGGCAGAACCAGGGCTGATGCTCAGGGACCCCCTCAAACCCTGGGACCTTGACCCCTGAGGCTAGGCCAACTCAGTCTGTAGTGTAGAAACCCAGAATGTCTATCACTCTTCTGGGTTAGATCTAGAATTTCTAGCATCAATTTGTTGTACAAGAGACCTCTGGAGTATCCTGGGTTGGTTTGCATGTCATTTGCATACCATTTGCATGTTCTGCCCCACCCATTCTCAGGGCACTATGAGAAGCCCCAAGAAGACCTTGCAGCGTAGCAATAATTTGGGCCTAGAGTTGCCTGTTGCCCCTAGAGATCTCTGAATCCAAGTTTAGGACCCCGGCACAGAGGCAATAAAGTTGGTGGTTACCTGTGGTGCTGCCTCTGTCTGTCTGTCTGTCTTCCTGGCCACCCTGACGTGAAACTCAGGGAAGAAAGCTGCAGTTGGTACTCAGCTGAAGCTGCCTCATGGGCAGAGGGAGCTTTTTCACCGCTCTCAGCTCAAGGCTGCACCCCAGACCCTGCCTCCTGAGCTCTGCCTGGGAAAGAGGATGGACAAGGTCCAAGCTCAGCTTCACCCTACAGAGTCTTCTCGGTGTTAAAAAGAGCCTGCTTGACTGAATTCCTGAGTGCACCTATCTCATGCCAGAACCTGCCAAGATAGCCTGTCCTCACCACTGTCTCTTAACAGCATATTCAAGAGTCCTAACAGCCATAACAGGGCAAGGGGACTCCTACAGGACAAGGCTGAGAA